CGAACAGCGGAGGAAGGAGGGCGCAGGGAGGACGCTCCCCCCGAGGATCGGGGATCGGGCGAGCCAGAGATCTCCGGGTGTCACCTGTTGGACGGCCCCGGGGGCCTACCTCTGGGGGGCCCCGCGGGGGCCCCCGGAGGTCGGAAACGACGAGCGACGTCGAGATGTCCTTCAAGACGTCCGTCTTCTTTCTCTTCTAGACGCGCGGTCGGGCGTCCGTCTCTGCCCTTCTCGTCAAGACGGCGGCTGTCCGGCGAGCGAGCGAGCCGAGGGGCAACGACCGGGGACGGCCGGGGAGCCCCGCGGGGGCCCCCAGAGGCCGGGAGCGCCGAGAAACGTCCGTCTCTGGCCTCGCCCCCTCAAGACGTTGGCTGTCCGGGGAGCGAGCGAGCCGAGGGGCAACGATCGGGGGGGGGGACAGGCTCAGGGGGGGACGCATCGACCTCGAGTGGCCGGCACATCTCCCAAGTATCGTCGATGCACCGTCGATGCAGGCCGCCCCATGTATCGTCTATTCATCGTCAATACGTCGCCCTGATTTCAAGAATGCATCGTCGACACATCATCGATGTATCAACCGCTTGAGGTCGATGCTCGAAGAAGAACAACGCCATAAACACACACTGTTTGCGCTCCGCGCGGATTTGGGCGCGCGAGGGGCGGCGCCAGAATCGCCGCCGGGGGGGCCCGGCGCGGATCCAAGAAATCCGCGCGGAGCGACAAAGTTTATGCTTGTGGAGTTGTCATTCTTCGGGATGCAGCCCCCCTCTGCGCCCATCCCCCCCGATCGCTGCCCCCGACGAGCGAGATTGGGGATCGAGCGAGGATCGGGGGTTCGCAGGTGCTGGGGAGCGCCAGTGCAAGCCTGGGAGAGGGGAAGCCCGGGCGATAGGGCCGGGCGCCGCACAGCGCTGGGACAGGAGGATCGAGCGGGCGGGAGCACCTTCGATGGGCACACTTTCCACCACCAGCACCAAAATGTAGGACGGGGGGGATGGGGGGATGAAGAGGTCCTCCTCCTCCTCCTCCTCCTCCTCCTCCTTCTCCTCCTCCGCCTCCTCTTCCTCCTCCTCCTCATGCTCCTCCCCCTCGTTACTCCTTCCTTCTTCCTCTTACCTCTTTCCTCCTCCTTCTCCTCCTCCTTCTCCTCCTCCTTCTCCTCCTGCTTGCTCCCTCCTCCTCCCTCCTCCTTTCCTCCCCTCCTCCTCCTCCTCCTTCTCCCTCCTCCTCCCTCCTCTCCTCTCCTCTCTTCCTCTCTCCTTCCTCCCTCCTCCTCCTCTCCTCCTCCTCCTCTCCTCCTCCTCCTGCTCCTCCTCCTCCTCCTCCTCCTCCTCCTCCTCCTCCTCCTCCTCCTCCTCCTCCTCCTCCCCCTCCCCCTCCACCTCCTTGCTCCTTGCTCCTTCCTCTTCCTCTTTCCTCCTCCTCAACCTACTCCACCTCCTCCTCCTGTCGATGCCCCCGAGGCAAAGCTGGGTGGCTGCGCTGAACTTGAGCCACAGAGACTAAGCGGCTCCAGATACGCAAAGTGTTTCGCTATGTTCGGTATCTAGGGGCCCTTACTGGGCCTCGGGACCGTCGAAAAACGGCTCAGGATGTAAAACCAGTCCCGGGTCGAGATCTCTGGGGATCGACCTTCTGAAGAACAATGCATGACATCGGGGGTCTGCGTCGGACGCCCGAGGTGGATACGGAAAACCTGGGCGCGATGCCCAACAACAGATTATGTCCAAAAACTGATAGGACCCGCCGTTGGGAAGGAGGCCGTCTGTCTCAAGTGGACTACATCCGCGGGGGCACCGACAGCGAGCCCTGTCACGTCCAAGACGAACACGAACTGCTGTCCGTCTTCGCGCCCGTCCTTTCCTCACCGATGCCGGTCGCACCGAGGAGGGGGCGCGTGAGCAATGGGCACGAATCAGGCCGTCGCAGGTTGTCAACAACTGGCCATCGCTCGGACGTCCATTCCCCGTGCCTTTTTTTGATTTCGTGCGTGGTTGTTTTCGCCGAGTGATCAAGGATGCTCCTCGATGGTCCTCGCCGAAGGAAATAGGGGAACAAAAAGTGGCATAAACGTAACATCTCGGAGATCCGCGCGGATTTCTCGGATCGGCGCTGGACCCCCCCTCCCTGGCGCGCGGAGCGCGCCAGGGGCGGCGCCGAAGGCGCCTCCAGGGGGGTCCAGCGCGGATCCGAGAAATCCACGCGGACCTCCGAGTTTTTACGTTTATGCCACTTCTCGTTCCCCTAGTAAGAGTGCACACGTCCGAGCGAGGCCAAGGCACCCGCCGCTCCGGGCCGCCTCTGCGGCGCTGCCGGGGCTCTCCCCCCCGCGCGCGGCACCGCCCTCCGGCGAGAGCCAGCGCAGGAGCGCCGATCTGCCGCTCCGTGCGCGCGCCCGGGGCGCCTGCCAGAGAGTTTGGCGGCGGAGCCGCATAGCCCCTCCTGACAGGGGATGCGTCGACCCCTGTCCCAGGCCTCGTGAGGCTTTCGAGAGGATCAACAATGTGGGGCCCAACCCTGGGATATATACGAGGGGGGGGCTTCCATCCTCGATGGGGGTGCGTCCGAAGAGCCCCCTCGGGATGTGTCCCGAGGTTCCCCCCCTTTTGTCTGAGCGGCCAAACCTTTCCTGCGGAACTCGGGGATTGGGGGAGAGAAATCGCCTGCGACCTCAGATTGCATCAGCCCATCGTTTTCGAGGCCCGTGTGCGCGCCGCGTTGCGAGTTGGCCAACATGCAAATCCCGGTGATACCCTTTGCAGCTTCATCGATCCGGGCTGCAATTGGAGATCGGGGCGGAGGTATCCAGCCAGGCGACCTCTCGATCCTCGAGCGAGGGTCGAGGATCGAGTGCTTGGATCACCGCGGGGAGTGCTAAGTGGATAGAGGGATATATGCGGGCTAAGGGGCTACACCAAGGCCACGCTTACGGCGATAGTGCTTAACAGTGATGGTAGGAACCAGTTTGTAGGAAATCACGATCAACACTTATCTACAATTCCAATCTGCAAGTGTATCCAACGAAAACGACCCAGCGAATTGTTGGAAAGGGCGAACCACGCCTTCCCACGATACCGAAACCTACATCGCCGTTACGTACATCGCCGTTAGCGTGTATACGGCTACGTCTTGCCTCACCATGCTTATAGAGTGGGCTACAGGTGCCCTCCGTGGCTTGAGTCGCTTCGCGAACCTGGCCTAGTGGGCGCAGCCCATTTAGCCCCGATCCTTATCCCCCTCAAGCTAGCTAGGTTGGGCCACACACACACATGTGTGTATAGGTGTGAAATGTATCCGCCACCGTGCGGCTGGGCATGGAGTTGGCGTGTCCTTAGGTCCATTGCCTCATCCCCTGAGCCTCGATCCTCGATCCTGAGGGTTCTGAAAGGGCCCGGACCCCGAATCCACACCTCTGTCGGGGCTTGCCGCGATTTCCATGGGATTCCTCGCCGCTTCCCGCATGACATGTTCGAGCCCACGAGGGCCCAGAACGGGCTCAGACGGAAACAAGAGGCATCCAAGACAGTCCACGTGGGCTCCGAGTTGCCGAACGATCTCACTGATTTCCAATCTTTGTCATAAAGAATTTGTCCTCGACTTTTCGAGCTCCCGACGCCTCAAGACGGCCCAAGAAGCCCCGAGGAGGGCCCCAGCACGGCCCAAGAAGGCTCCAAGGCGGCCCTGGAAGCCCCCCAGACGGCCCAAGAGGGCCCACAGACAGCCGCAAGAGAGGCCCAGAGCACGAACCGAACATCCGAGTCTTCCGCCCCAAGAGGTACCCAAGAGGCCCCAAGAGACCCCCAAGAGGCCCCGAAGACGACCCGAGAGGCCCCAACGTCCCGCAAGAGGCCTCAAAACGGCCCCACGAGGCCCCCGAGAGGCCCCAAGTCCCAAGAGACCCCCAAGAGGCCCCGAAGACGCCTCAGGAGGCCCCGAAACGGCCCGCAGGAGGCCTCGAAGCGGCCCCCAGGAGGCCCTTTGCCCCTCAACCCAAGCACGGTGGCGGGATGGGTCGAAGGCCATATCAGATCATGTTGCAATGAAAACCTATGGCAAAGACGGGTTGTAAGGACGCACGGCCCTTGGAGGCCGAAGTTGGGATTTGTTTTGGGCGGGCGACCAAACCCCATGGGTATCTCGAGAGGCTGGCCAGTGGAAACGGCAACGGACAGGCCGCAGAGGCAAGGACACAAGGGTACCCTAGAAAAGGCGCGCATCAATACTATGCACGCTGACTGTCTATAGTATGATAGGTGTACGTGTACATGTATGTATGATTGTATGCTTACGCATGTATGCATACATGTATGTTTGCGTGCATATATGCATGCATGCATGCATGCGTGTATGTGTGTACGCATGGCAGGATGCATGTACATACATATGTAAATATGTATGTATGTATGTATGTATGCATGTATGCATGCATGCATGTAGTCAGGTAGGTAGGTAGGTAGGTAGGTAGGTAGGGAGGTATGTAGGTAGGTAGGTAGGTAGGTAGGTAGGTATGCATGTATGTATGTATGTATGTGTGTATGTATGTATGCATGTGTATTCAACCAGGAAGCATAAAACATAAGCATATCGACCACCGTGCATGCACGGAGCAGGCGTGTTAGAGTGCTCGCCCGTTGGTGAGCGTCGTCATATTCGGCGTTTCGACATTGGGCGGAAGGAGGAGTGGGAGGGGTCTGGCTCTGAACCTCTGCGTACTGCGACTGTTTGCAACAGTGCGTCCTGTGGGGGAGACTCCCCCCGCTCGAAGCAGGCGCCAAAAACGGCCAAGATCTACTCCATAGGGGGCCGATGGCCAGCGACGATCGGCAAAGCAACGAGTAAGAAAACGACGACGTGCTCGCCCGTTGTCTGGAAGGCGTTGTTCTAGTAATGTGTTCCAAGGCCGCCCCCATCCCCTCGCCCGTGAATCCCTCGAGCACCGCCCCCCTCTGAGATTGCCTCCCGGCGGTCTCTCGTCGGCATCCAGGCGGCCCACATGGCCTCCCAAGCGGCTCTCTGGACAGCCAAGACGACACACCAAAACGGCGTCAGACGGCCCAAGACGGCTCAAGAGGCTCTGAAGGCAGCCTCGATACGGCCCGAGAAGCCCCCGAGATGGCCTCAGAGAGTTCCAGGATGCCCTCCTTGACACGGCCCGAGACGGCTCGAGAGGCTCCGAAGACAGCATCGAGACGGCCCGAGAAGCCCCCCAGACGGCCTCGGAGAGTTCTAAGAAGGCCGTCCTGGAGAGCCCGAGGGGGCAAACAACCAATGATTTCCCTCAGGGGTCTATAAAAGATTGTTAAGGTTCTCGCCTGTTTGGGTCTCCGACCGCCCAAAACGTTATGTTGCATATTCGGGGGACCGTGTCTGTCCCGTCGCGCCCCTATCCGCGTCGAATCCGTGTCGAATACATGCCGGACTCGTCGAATCTGTGTCGGATCCGTGTCGACTCCGCGACGAGTCCACGCCAAATCCGTGTCGAGTCCGCATCGACCCCGCGCAGGGCACAAGAGAAGACACCAATTTTGGGGGGTAGGCAAGGCCCCCCGGAGACGCAACGTAAAAGACGGCCCAAGGGGCTTCCAAGCTAGCTCCAAGACAGCCCATGAACCCCCCAAGAGGGCCCCGAGTCGACCCAACGGGACCCCAAGATCGCCCAAGAGGATCCCAAGAGGGCCTCCAGACGGCTATCAAGCGCTCCAAAAGGGCATCAAGACAGCCCAGAGAGAGGCCCCCAAAGACGGACTCCGAAGGCGTCAAACGGGCCAATCGTCCTCCAAAGACGGCCCAGAAGGACCCAGAGGCCCCCCAAATGTACCAGGAGGATCTCAATGGGCCCCTGAAAGGCGAGGCTCACAGGAGGCCCACAGGAGGCCCCAAGAGGGCCCCAAAAAGCTTCATCCTCATCATCCTCATTATCTCCCTCTCCCTCCTCCTCCTCCTCCTCCTCCTCCTCCTCCTCCTTCTCCTCCACTTCTTCTTCTTCTTCAAATTATTATTATTACTATTTTTTTTCCCTCTTCCTCCTCCTCCTCCTCCTTCCGATTCCTCCTCCTCCTCCTCGTCTTCCTCCTCGTCCTCGTCCTCGTCCTCGTCCTCGTCCTCGTCCTCCTTCTCCTCCTCCTCCTCCTCCTTCTCCTCCTCTTGCTCCCCCTCTTCTCTAACACGCGGACGAAGACGATGTCGGGATCACGACCGTCCGCAGTTCAGGCCACTCGCTGAACTGCTGCGGGGTGCGAACTCAACCTCAAGCAAGGCCGAATTCACGTATTGTCCTTATCAGAACACTCGTCGGAATTGCGCTGTTCCTACACTTCGTCTCCTTCCTGCAGCGCAGTCGCACAAGCACGGTGGCGGGGTTTTCCGCAGGCAGCTGGATACGCAACACCCTATCCACCCAACAACCCCCGCGGTGATTCGAGGAATCAGCCAGGGAACCAGCGAGCACGGTCCTCGATCGAGGATCGAGGGCGCCACCATCCTGCCTGGCCAGGGCCGTCCCAGGCTCCAGGATGGTACCTTTACGTCGGGCATGTCACCCTACAGGCGGATTTTGGACCAACAATGAAACGAGTCAAAACATACGCAAAATCAATGCGAAACAAAAATCACCCCCATAATGTTGTTTTAACTTTTTTCGAGTAGTCCTCCTATACGGGGACACGCCCGAATTTGACAATACCTCCCGGCCGCGGCGGAACATGCCGCCGTGCATGGCCCGGGCACCACCGCCGTGCCTGGCCGGGGCCCTCCTGGGCCCTCCGATGGTGTACAGACTCTCCTCTGTCCGCGGCGATGCTGCTGCAGCTGCGTCGTCGTCGTCGTCGTCGTCGTCGTCGTCGCGGTCGTCGTCGGCGCACGTCGTCTCGAGGGATGCGGCTTGGAACTTGCTGTGCGCAGGAGGCGTCGCCACCACGCCTGGCCAGGGCCATCTGGGGCCCCAGTCCAGTGTGCACGTTCTCCTGGCCGCAGCCATCCCCTAGGGTTAGGTCGGGCGGTCGGGCATGTCCTCCCACAGGCGGATTTTGAACGAAGCAAAAAGAGCCACAACAAACTCAACAAAAATCAAAAATGCTGCAAACATCGTCCCTGACTATTTTTGAACTTTTGAACTTGACTATGCTGAGAAATGTTGATTATTGTTTGACTACTTTTGAATTCTCCTCCTGTGGACGGACAGGCCCGGCTCAACCCTAGGGACCCACATGGCCCCGGCCGGGCGCGGAGGTGCATAGGCGCCCTCTGCAGATGTTTGGCCCTCTCCAGCCTGCCTCCTCGTCCTCCTCCTCCTCCTCCTCCTCCTCCTCCTCCTCCTCCTCGTCCTCCTCGTCCTCCTCGTCGTCCTCGTCCTCGTCCTCCTCCCTCCCTCTCCTCCTCCTCCTCCTCCTCGTCCTCCTCCTCCTCCTCCTCGTCCTCCTCGTCCTCCTCCTCGTCCCCCTCTGGAAAGGGAATGGCAATGCCTGGGATGACCTCAAAAAATGCTGCCAACGTTTTGTTCCTCCGTGCTGGAGATCGACGTTGTCTCTGCGCTTCGGGCGCTGTGCTTGTGGTGCCTTCAGGTCCTGAATCGGCCCTTGGCCATCCTGCTCGTTTTCGCTCCTTTCTTCAATACGTGTGTAATGCTTCCTGTATGTATCAATGCCGCCTACCTGATGTCCTGACGTCCACTGCCATGGTGTCGTTTTAGATCGTCTTGGTCGAGTCAAGAGCGAAAGTTGAAGAAAACGGGGGAGTGTTTTTGGTAACGACTAGAGGCAAGGCCTCACAACCGCCCGCAGCTGGAGCCAGAGTGCGAGCCCATTCCCACCTAAACGATGTGGCTTAGCTCTCTCTGCGCTGCTGCTGCTGCTGCTCGTGCTGAGCCGAGGGCCTTGCCGGACCTCTCCTGGGGCGCGTTCTGACCAGCATTCCGAGGCGGATCCAGCGGTGGCGACGGGGGCCTCCCAGGAGTTCCAAAAACAAGAATACGGGCGGAGGGTAGCGGTATGGGTACAGTGGGGACCCGACCACAAGAAACCTTCCACAAGAAATCCAACCCTGAGACCCCAGGACGTCCATCGATTTGTGGTGTCGGAACGTCACGCCTTCCACAACATAACCATCGAAACCCAAGAAAACCAGGGCATCCTGGAGGCAAGCAGGGTGTTCCTTGGCATGGGCCCCCTCTGTACCAAGGCGGACCTCGAAAGGCCCCCCTCGGTAACCGCAGGCCAGGGCGACCCGAGCACGCTCGGGCGCCCCAAAGCGCAGCGGGGACAGCTTCTGCGGGCAGCCGCCAGGGCCCCCTCCTCGGCAGCGCGGGCGAGGCCCCAAAAAGTCTCTGGCCCCCGGAGGCCGAACTCGCGGAGAAACGCGGGGGGTGCGAAATCGAGGAGGAGGAGAAGGAGGAGGAGGATGAGGAGGAGGAGAGGGAAGAGGAGGAGGAGGGGGAGAGGGAAGAGAGGAACGAGGAGGAGGGAGGAGGAGGAGGAGGAGGAGGAGGGGAGGAGGAGGAGGAGGAGGGGCAGGAGGAGGGAGGCGGGGGGAGGAGGAAATCGAGGAAATCGAGGATATCGGAGGTCCGAAGTGGCGGTCGCACCCGCTCGCGCCCCCGCCGCCGCGCTTGGGGCCGCCGCGGCCCAGGCGGGCCTCCGCGGGCTGGTGGATCAGCGCGTTGACCTTCAGGACGGCGCAGAGGGCCTCCCGCCGCGCGGCGGGCACCGGCGCGGCGTGCTTGCTCGGGCCCTCGTTTGGGGGAGCGAGCGTGATGGACCCGTTTTCCACCACGACCGCCATAAGTTGGATGGGGGAAGGAGGAGGACGAGGAGGAGGACGAGGAAGAGGAGGTGGTGTAGGTGTAGGTGTAGGCGTAGGAGGACGAGGAGGAGGAGGAGGAGGTGAACGAGGAGGAGGGTGGAGGAGGAGGACCCCCTCCTCCTTCAACTTGTGGTGGTGGTGGAAAAACGAGCCCATGAGAACAATGACATATATATATATATATTATATATATATATATATATATAACTCGGAGGTCCGCGCGGATTTCTCGGATCGGCGCTGGGGCCCCCTGGCAGCGCCTCCGGCGCTGCCCCTGGCGCGCTGCGCGCTCCGCGCGCTGGGCAGGGGGGTCCAGCGCGGATCCGAGACATCCGCGTGGACCTCCGAGTTGTTGTGTCAATGCCATGTTTCGTTCCCCTACCAGTACCCCTGCCCTGTGCGCCGAAGAGACACGCACACAAATCCACCTCCAGGAAAGCCCAGAGCCGAATCGACAAATCGGATCGGCGATCGAGATAAATCGGATCGGCGGCGATCGGCAGCCGAGTCGGCTAAAGTCGGAGGGGCAGAAATCGGCAGGCCAGTAGGCCTCCAGTGCTCCAGTGAGAAATCGGATCCCAAACCGAGATCCGAAGTCGAATGCACCAGAATCGGAATCCATCAGAATCGCATCGGATCGAGTCGGAGGAGTCGAAACAAGCCCTGCACCTCCCTCCTCATCCACCCGAGGGGGGACGACAGGGAGGAAAGCCGAAGAGACACGCTGACAAATCCACCTCCCTCCCCCTCCTCCCTTCTCCTCCTCCTCCTCCCCCTCCTCCTCCTCCTCCTCCCTCCCTCCCTCCCTCCTCCTCCCTCCCTCCCCTCCTCCCCCCTCCCCTCCCCTCCCCGTCCTCCCCCCTCCCCTTCCTCCCTCCACCGTCCTCCTCCTCCTCCTCCTCCTCCTCCTCCTCCTCCTCCTCCTCCTCCTCCCCTCCCGCCTCCTCCTCCTCCTCCTCCTCCTCCTCCTCCTCCTCCTCCTCCTCCTCCTCCCCTCCTCCTTCCTCCTCCCCTCCTCCGTTCCTCCTTCTCCTCCTCCTCGTCCTTCTTCTCCTCCTCCTCCTCCTCCTCCTCCTCCTCCTCCTCCTCCTCCTCCTCCTCCTCCCGAAGGGGGACGACAGGGAGGGACCGAGGGACCTCTGCAGTCGGCGAGACATCTCGCCGACAGATCAGCAGTGTGCCCCCGACGTTGCGAATCCGCACGCTCCCAGGCGGGAGCAGCTGCCGGGCAGAAGCCAGCACGGCCTCGACGGCCGCCCGCGGTGCGCCCCCCCCGCTTCCCCCGACAGCCGGCGCCGCGTCTTTCGTCCGCAGCGTGGCTCCCCAAGGTCTGGACTCCTTCGATGCCTGCATGTCGATCCTGGAGATTCCTCGATACTCCTCAAGCCTCCATATGCCCAGATCCTCGACACTCGTCCTCCCTAGGCATCCGAGGTCGCGATTTTTTGTCACAGCGGGACCCCCCCTCCCCGAGGAGTGGCTTTCCATCCCGAGCCGCTCGAGGCTGTTCTTCTTCAGACTCCAGCTGATTTCTTTGCATGTTGAGGCGAGGCCCGAAAGGAAGAGGAAATCGAACTGCATTTGTTCCACACCAGGCGTTTTCGCTCCATTTCGGGCCCTGGGGCCCTCACGGATCCATCCGGCTCGAAAGATAGGATCTGGGGCTGTGGTCGTGATTTTTTGCGATGTTGCAATTTCTATCCGGCGGAGGCCCCGGCAACACGCCGTGTCTTGAACGCTCATGCTCGGCGGGATGCCCCAAAGGCTGCACACAAAGCGGAAAACGTGGCACCTCGGAGGCCTGGAAAGCATCCGGGATGCGGACCACGCCGCCGCGCCGCCGCGTGGCGGGCCAGAACTGGCGGGGCGACGCGCCGAGCAGGAACACCTGCGGCGGCTGGGCAGAGGGTGACTGCGCTGGCGATGAATGGCATGAGCGGGGATACCGTTGGGGCGAACTTGTGCCACCATGCAGGAGGAGGAGACACCTGCGCAGAACACACGCAGGGGGTGCCCCTGAGCAAAAGTGGCCTTTGGTGCGCGGCTTTGGGGGGCCGCGGGGAGGCCGAAGCCAAGCGCGCATGCCTACGCTTGGGATACCACCGACGGGACTGTGCTCCCACACCGAATGTCACTCCGGCGAAGGGTCACTCTCCATGTCTAAAAGCACGTGGTGAAGTCAACTTCTGGGATCATGTAATAATAGATCATCCCGGCGCTGTAATGCGCATGTGGAAAACAGAAAAGGAGGCGACGCAAACCGGACAGCCGATCACGTCCCCGCGACCGCCCTGGGGCGCCGCGTTCATGGGCAGATCCCTGCGCACCCCCGCGCAGCGTCAGGCCACGCCTGTCACGCCCTGCGACCCTGGCGCGGATAGAGAGTGCGCTCAGGAACCACCCCCTGCGCACCCTCCCTGGGTCGCGAGAGTGCTACACCGGACACGCCCTGCGACCTGGAGTGGATCGAAAGCGCTCAGGGACCACCCCATGCACTTCCTCACCGGTGCCGAGAAAGTGCTGGCGCCAGCCTTTCCGCAGGGCAAGGCTGGTGCCAGCACTTTCGGCAGGGCAGCGATGGCAAGGCTGAGAGGCTGAGAAAACACACCTGGGCCTCGACATGAGTTGGCGCATTCGCACCCCGCCCGCTGCCCCTGTGCAGCGCGCGCCGCACAGGAGACCGACCAGTGGGTGGGTCACCCAAAAGAAAATGATAAACAAATTGTTTTGCTGGCGTCCTGGGCCTCAACCTGGGTTGGTGCATTCGCAGACCACGTGTTTCCACCTGCTGGAGCGCGCACCGCACAGGCGACCCACCAGCGGGGGCATCACCCGAAATATGGGCTCAACAATACCAAACAAACATGTTTTGCAGTTGCACTGTGGGCCTCAACATGAACTGGTGAATTCGTACTCAACACGCTTCCGCCTTGTGTAGCGCGCGCCGCACAGGAGACCCACCAGCGGGTGGGCCACCCGAAACGTAGGCTGAACCAATACAAACATGTGATGCAGTTGCGTTGTGGGCCTCAACATGAACTGGTGAATTCGTGCTCCACACGCTTCCCTTGCGCACCGCGCACCTTACGGGTGCTCCACCACTGAGTGGGCCACCGAACAACTGGTTGAGGAAAATCAATTGTTCCACTGGAGCTTTGGGCCTCAACATGAATTTGTACCTTCATGCGCCACATGGTTCCGCCTTGTGTGGCGAGCACCGCACAGGTGACCCACCAACCAGTGGGTCACCCGCAGCATGGTTGTTAAATTATCCCAGTGCGACCCTACCTAGGAGTTGGAGCCCCTAGGAAAGCAGTATTAGTAGTAACAGTAAAGCTAAGCTAACCCTAAGCTAAAGCTAAGCTAACGCTAAGCTAAAGCTAAGCTAAAGCTAAGCTAAGGCTAAGCTAACACTAAGCTAAAGCTGAGCTAACACTAAGCTAAGGCTGAGCTAAAGCTAAGCTGAAGCTAAGATAAAGCTAAGCTACAGCTAAGCTAAAGCTAAGCTAAAGCTAAGCTAATTCTAAAGCTAAAGATAAGCTAAAGCTAAAGCTAAGCTAAAGCTAAGCTAAAGCTAAGCTAAAGTTAAGCTAAATATAAGCTGAAGCTAACCGACAGCTAAGCTAAGGCTAAGCTAAGGCTAAGCTACATCTAAGCTAAAGCTAAGCTAAAGCTAAAGCTAAAGCTAAGCTAAAGCTAAGATAAAGCTAAGCTAAAGCTAAGCTAAAGCTCAGCTAAAGCTAAGCTAAAGCTAAGCTGAAGCTAAGCTAAAGCTAAGCTAAAGCTAAGCTAAAGCTAAGCTAAAACTAAGCTAACGCTAAGCTAACACTAAGCTAAATCTAAGCTAAGACTAAGCTGAAGCTAAGCTAAAGCTAAGCTAAAGCTAAGCTAAAGCTAAGCTGACACTAAGCTGAAGCTGAGCTAAAGCTAAGCTAAAGCTAAACTAAAGCTAAGCTAAAGCTAAGCTAAAGCTAAGCTAAGGTTAAGCTAACACTAAGCTACAGCTAAGCTAAAGCTAAGCGAAAGCTAAGCTAAAGCTAAGCTAAAGCTACGCTAAAGCTAAGCTAACACTAAGCTGAAGCTAAGCTAAAGCTAAGCTAAAGCTAAGCTAAGGCTAAGCTAACACTAAGCTAAAGCTAAGCTAAAGCTAAGCTGAAGCTAAAGCTAAAGCTAAAGCTAAAGCTAAGCTAAAGCTAAAGCTAAGGCTAAAGCTCCCAGGGGACAGGGGGAACCGCGGGGCGGGGACTGGGGGAACCGCCCGGGGAGTGTAGCACTGCCCGGCCCCTTTAAGCTAACAGAGTAAGAACCCTTCTAGGCAGAGCCTAGGTAGGGAAAAACTGTGTCACCTGCGTTCCGGGCCTCGACATGACTCGGTGCGTTCCTACTCCACACGCGTCCCCCGTGCAGCGCGCACCGCGGACGTGACCCACCAGCGGGGTTTCACTGGCACTGTGGGCCTGGACATGTGCTGGTGCACTCGCGTTCCACACGCTTCCCCTGTGCACGCGCGCACCGCGCAATGCGCAATTGACCCACCAGCGGGTGGGTCACCCGAGAACTGGTTGAGAAAAACCCGAATCGTTTCACTGGCATCCTGGGCCTCGGCATGAGTTGGTGCGTTCGCGCGCCACGCGCTTCTCCTGTGAAGCGCGCGCCGCACAGGTGACCCACCAGCGAATGTGTCACCCGCAAGAAGATACGCAAAGCCCAACTCGGTCACCTGTGTTCTGGGTCCCCACACGAGTTGGAACATTCGTACTCCACGAGTTTCCTTCGTGTAGCGCGCGCCGGACAAGTGATCTACCAGCGCGTGGGTCACCCGATAGCTGGTTGCGAAAGGCAAGTGCTTCTCTTGCATTCTGGGCCCTCGGGTGCAGTTGTGC